GAAGCTCCTTTATGACATTGATGAGGAGCATGAATTTGAGGGTTTCACATCAGAAGACTGACACAGAACCCTTCTCCAAGCAGGAGAGAAGGATGCTATAGATGAGGATGTGGAGGCTTGGCTAGAGGCTGATGGGGATGATCCTGGATACCACAACTTGACAGAGGAGGAGATTGTGGACTCTGTACATGAAGCTGCAGACGACTTTGATGATGATGAAGAGAATGAAGATGAACCACCAAAAATAAAAGTGCCAGAAGCTAGGGACTGCCTGGACACCCTTATAAAATTTACTCATCAGACTAAAGATGAAAAAATTGTGGCCTATTACAATCACTTATGGCACTTGATGGAACTTGTCATACAGGAGCAAAGAAGCAAGGTCACTCAAACAAAGATTGACACTTTTTTTCAAGCCAAGACCTTCCGGCAGTGCCTCCTTGTCCTTAACATCATCCTCCTTGGCAGAGGAGGTTCCTCTTCCTATCGTCATTTGTGACTCAGACTCAAAGTGACTGCAAGCCTCCAGCAATCAGAGGCATGCCAGCTGGATCTGCCTTCCATTTTTGGGGGTAAGTGTACAGTACTTTGTGTGCATTACTTTTTTTAATTGATTTTATTGACCCTTATGCCCCGGGTGACAATCCAGAACGTCTGACCAGCACGCCCAGGGTGACGTTCCAGAACGTGAACCTATTCCCGCTACTGTTTAAATGCCCAGCGTGGGTTGTCAGGTTCCAGTGTGACTATTTGCCTCTCACACCACACACTCGGCCACAGGGAAGCTTCCTGAACATAATTACCTACTTTTGTTTGTTTCATTTTCATTGTTTGTCGATTTTACCATGTTGTATTGTAGGGTAGAATTACTGTAAAACAATGCTATGATTGTGTTAGAAATGTTTTTATTTGTGGAATTATTATTATTTTATGCATTACTTGCTCTACCAAACACAAAGACAGCCAGGCAGACTGGCGACCAACTGATGATTGTTGCCAAGCACTTTTTTATGAAAAATTATGCAAATAAAATATTCTAAATTAATTATTTATAGCAAATAAATATTAAGATCAGTAAATACATACATTATTGGCCACTTCGGACACAAAGGCGAGCTAAAAATAGCTGCTAAGTGCCGATGGACCACGAGCGTCAGCTGTCAAACCAACACTGTCTCCTTATCTCTCGCCCTCCTCCCTCCCTCTGCGCAGCCAGAGAAGTTTCTCGAGGGCCAATATATAGTTTTTCTTACTTATATTATTGTTTTATCATTTTAAAAGATTAAAAATTATTTTTGGAAAATTTGATTTTTCTCGATTTAACCCCGGGTGGGGGGTACTGCCACCAGCCCCCTAACCCGGGGCTTAAGGGTTAAAAAACATGTATTTCTTTCATAAAAATTGGATACATTGGTGCTAAGCTCTTTCTTTGTTTAAAATGAAGATCTTTTTTGACAAATTTTCTTCAAGGCGGACAACCTCTTATCCTGGACACCCCTTTCCCCCAATCAGTCCGCTTCAACAAGGTTTTACTGTATTCAGAATGCTGGCTTGAGACAACATAAAGACTCAAACCGGGTTTGAGATTGGATTTGTAGATCCTCGCGTTAATCCAACCTTGAGGCAGGTTTAGCAGTCGATCCATCATTCAAGATAGCAAGTCAACCTGAATTTTGACAAAGAGCGCACTTATAGGCAATATCGTCAAATTGGAAACTTTGTAGAGAGAAAACTGATGGTAGAATGGCAGAATCCTATCAATTTTTATGACGACACAATTCAGACAAGGGAGATTTCCTTGATATTTTCCGTGATACGGAGCATCTACTTGATAGACCTGTTGGCTACGGTTCACCTCTACCTCCCATTCATCAGCTGATGATTGCTTTGAGATTCTTTGCAGCAAATAAATTCCAGGTAAGAAAGATTCTGGTTACTGAATGAGTTATGGTAATGTGTTACAGTAAGCTCTCGCTTAACGTCGGGGTTACGTTCCTGAAAACGCGACGTTATATGAAACAACGTTAAACGGATCAATTTTCCCCATAAGAAATAGATAAAATATGGGAGTTACGTTCCTGAGCCTCCCTTTGAACCGTGAAAAAAATTACATATACAAAAAATCATTGCCATTTCTAGAGAAAATACAGGTTGTACCTCTCTAGTCTGGCAACCTCGGGGCCTGACCGGTGCCGGACCATGGAAATTGCCGGACCATGGAAATTCACCCTTTTCCTGGATAGATAGTGACTTGTGCTTATGCCTGGAAGCACTAGCACCACTTTCTCTGCATCATGGTCTCTTTGAAGACATATTGAAGGGTTAAATGTCGTATAGTAGCTTCTCAAATTTCGCGAGTTTTTAATTCTTAACGTATTTTATTGGAACACACAAAAAAATAAATAAATAAAAATTTTGACGGCGGAAACTTGAATTTCGACGGGTTTGAACGGCCCGCCAACATGCAGACGACGTGCATAATCGTGTAAACAGCGTCATTTCTCTTATGTAAAAAAGATTCATTATTGTTTATTACTGAATGTCTTTTTTATTGAATTAATGTTTATGTGTGCAAAATGAGCAATACAATTCATTAATAATACGTAGAATATTAAAACACACGAGGAAATGACACAGCATTGTATTCGTTGATTACAAAACCAGTGACTGACTGGTTCTACATATAAAACTAAAGAAAATAAGACCTTGGTTGTAGCTGTAGTAAAATTAATATGGTTGTTTTAAGTAATGTTATTAATGTTAATAAATGGAACAATAGAAGTAGCTAACGATAATGGTAAAGAAAAAAGAGAGATCGCATATGTAAGTGCGCATGCGCACACGTGAAAACATATCATTACTTTACATAAGAATATGAAAGCAACACTTATTTACTGTTCATATATATTTTAATTAATGTTTCTGAATTTGTTTTTATTGAATTAATGTACGTGTGTGCAAAATTAACAATACAATTTATTAATAATACGTGGAATATTAGAGGAGACGAGACGGCTGCCGGCATTGTTTATGTTAAAGCTTACGAAACCAGTGACTGATTGGTTCTACATATAAAACTGAAGAAAATAAGACCCTGAGTTTAGCTGTAGTAAAATTAATGTAAAAAATGAATATGGTTGCTTGAAGTACCTGTAATGTTATTTAATGTTAATAAATGGAACAATATAAGTAGCTAACCATTAATGGTAAAAAAAAAGTGAGACTGCTCGTATGTAAGTGCGCACATGTGAAAATATATCGTCATTACTCTACATAAGAATATGAAAGCAACACTTATTTACTGCTCATATATATTGAAGGGTTAAATGTTGTACTCTGTATAGACAAGCAGAGAGAGAGAGCAGCCGAACTGCCGGATGTAAACAAACCTTAATTTCCCGCGGCTTTTTTTTTGTAAGGGGATTAGCCCACCCGGGAATAGGTCACTGACCCACATTAGGGCCTGAGGGGCAAAAATTTAATACTCCTGTAATAATAATAATAATAATTCAGATAAGTAAAAAGAAAAAAAAAAAGCTGCCTATCTACCTATTGGACAAACTGAAATCGTTCCGGACCACGGGTGTTTCCGGACCACAGAATGCTGGACTAGAGAGGTACAACCTGTAGTATACAGTACTCCTAAAAGTTAATGATAAAGTAATATCAAATATATGCTTTACAGATGATCCTGTTCTTATCACAGATTGTATAAAGGCATTACAAAAATTTTTTAAAAGTTTAGTGGAAAAAGGTGAAAAATATGATTTAGGAGTTAATGCTGTAAACACGAGCGTAATGGTTGTTTCCAAATTGGAAATAATTCCTAAAATAAAAATTATGGTAGGCAACAGGGAACATAAACAAGTGCAATATTTTGTGTATTTGGGATGTAACATTAGCTGTGATGGTAGATGTATGGAAGAAATCAAAAGAATAGGGCAATCAAGGCAAAGATTTAATAATCTAAAAGACCGAATGAAAAGGGACATTAATTTCAATTTGAGAAAAAAGTTGCTGAAAGATTTTATGTGACATAGACTGATGTATGAGTCAAAGGCATGGACACTTTCAGCAGACACCAGAAAGATGTTGGAGGCCTTTTAAATGTGGTGTTCTAAGAATAAGCTACACTGAGAGGAAAACAAATGAAGAAGTACTAAGATTAGCAAAAACTTCAAAAGAAATACTTGAAATGTACAGAAAAAGAAAAATGAGATACTTTGGTTATATAATTAAGGATGAGGGGATAATAACAGATATATTAATGGGCAAAGTTGTGGGTGGGAGGGTCAGGGGAAGGCAGATACTAGGCCGGATGAATAAAATAAAAAACTGGGTCGCCAGAGAGTTACAAAACCTTGGAAGATTGGTTAAAACAGCTTGAGAATGTTTAGAGTGGAGGACTGCAGTTGCCAGCCCTCAGATATGAAGACGATGCTTTGACTGATTAATTGAAGACATACCAGAACATGAAATGAACTTGTGAATGCTATTATATGACTCCATAAACATGAAAATCATAATTTTTCATTTAATGTATTATTTTACATGTAGGCAGAGTTGTGACCCTACCTTGCCAGTTCTACATATTATGTCCAGTTGCCACTCTATAATAGTAGGTTGGTGATAGGATGAGCATCCAGCTGTAACTCTTGTTTTAAATTTGCCTGGTGGCTAACCCACACAAGTGTGGAAACTGGCCATAAAATAGTGATGAAGATGATGATGTAGATAAATTTGATAAAATTTATCTTATTCTAATGATCTGATATGTGGGTGGTATAGCATTAACACATGTAACTCTCACTACTATGTCCTGGCTCAGGACAGATGTGGGAACGGTTTCCTCTGGGTACTGGACATGAGAGTTCAAAACAAAGTAACAAAGAAGAGACCAACAAGCGGTTAAAAGATAAATAAAAATATTGACTTTATGTAGGTTAATGCAATACTGTAATGAGAATTACCATCACACTACGTTCTCATATCAGACTTACCTGGAAGCCCAGTGACGTTCTGATTCTTCATATAATGAAGTAGATTATCAGGATTAGCGACGTGCTGGCCATTAGGTTTGGCCAGACGGGTGGCCATGCGAGCCACCAGCATGTTGGGCCCAAGGCCAGCTGAGCATGGACAGCTTGTTGCTTCCTTTAAATTCAAAACAAATAAATCAAAATCTCTCCCTGTTAAGAACACAAATCCTATAAATGTTCTCAGCCAATGAACCACAGTAAAGGAAAGCTATGCCATAACCAATTGTGTATGGGGTCCCCTCTCTGCTGAATAAAATCGTCAAGCATTGGTCAACTAAAATATCAAAAAGTGGCAGCCCCATAGTGAAGGGAAGTAGCATCCCCAGAGTGAAAAGGCTAAATGGGTAGAAAGAATGAGCAAATATAAGGCGGTAAGTCCATAACTATTAACTTCACTATATTCTATCAAAAGTGAGAGGAACACATGCATAAAATCTCATGTAAAACATTATTCATAATAATCCTTTCATGTTGAGCTAAGTAAAAATTATCAAGTATTCCAGAATATTTTACAGTAACAAGATGCTTCACAAGAACTGTACTCTACAAGTACTAAAAACCTCTGTAAATCAATTGTTCATAAACCTATGCACATTTTCCTGTTGACTGCCATTACAAAAGCTGAGATACATTGCTAAGAAAAAAATTCTACAAAACATGTTTTTCATGAACATTTTTGGTGTACACAATGATTTTAAGACAACAATAAACATATAAATTAAATACTGTACAGTAGATGCAGTACAGAACAGTAAAATAATAATTTCACAATCGCACTTCCAGAGAAACTGGGTGAGATTTGAAAAAAGTAAACAGCATGAAAAACAAAACCAATACTGTATCTATAATAATTATGTTACCCTAATAATACAATGACACCTATTATATACTGTATTTTACTGCAAATAAGACACACTTTTTTGTCTGAAAATGGCTCAAAACATTGGCCTGCGTCCTATATGTGAAGTTGCTTCTCTCCCGTAGGCTAATGTATCTCCCAGTTGCTGTCTCCAGTAGGCAAAATTTTACTTAACCCAACTCCAGAATTAAAAACATGTTATTTCTTACTTAAACACATTATTATTATATTAATTAATTAAAAAATTAATTACTTTAAATATAAAAACTGGATTTGTAACTACTGTACTGATGATGATAACCCGAAATGATTAACAACTCTTCAGAGGTACCTAAGCATTTCTGAACTCTTACAAGCATTACCATTACTATCTATTAATGTCATACCTGCAAATTTATTTTTAAAACTACAAATACCTGATACAGATTACTAGGCCAACCTGTGAGGTGTTATGGTTGTTTTTCAACTCGCATTTTCGGATAAATATACATAACTTTCTTCAATTATTTCTACAGTCAACCCTCACTTTACGCGGTTAATGTAACCCGCAGGGTCCCGCGGAAAGTGAGGAACACGTAAAGTGAATAACATAACATATGGGATTAATTGAAATAGAGTCCAGGCCGACCCCCAAACTCCACTTTTTGACGACACACAACTATGTTGTAGTAAAATTTTTATCTTAACTTTATGATGATATGAAAAAACAAGTAATATAGAAGAGGTTAGGTTAGGAAAAATAAAGGTTAACATAGGAAAAATAAAGGTTAGGTTAGGAAAACTAAAAGTTATGTGGAACACTTACGTTAGTAGAAGAGATGGGTCGGCGTACGGGGATGGAGGCTGGTTCCGAGGCAGAGGGCAGGCTACTGGCCCTCAGGTGAATCACCATTACTAGGTGCATCACCATCACTGTCACTTACAGTTGTCAGGGCTTCCCTGACAAATCCCTCAAAGTCATCTTCACTGTCGCTATCACTGGCTTGGGCTGGCTGTGGTGGGTTGCGGGCGAAGAAATCTGTTATGCTTTGCTGACGGCTGGTGTTGATGTTGTCGTGATACACCTTGATGTAGGGCTCCATAGTCTGCAACAGCTGGGAAGTGAAGATTTCATACCTGTTTGCGTCAGGGTCGTCAGAAAGGAGGAGCTTGGCTTTCTCGATACACTCGATGGCACCCCTAACATTACTATGGGATAAGTGTTGTTCTTCTTGGGATGACGCACCACCTGCCTCTTCACTGATGTCGTCATCATCATCTACCATCTCCTCGGCAGTCACATCAGGTTCCATTATCACCTCCAGGATGTCGTCGTTGGTGGTCTCGGAGAAGCCTGGAACTGTAACAGTCTGCGCAGCTTCTCTGGCAAGGTTCACTGCTACTGCAACAGTCTGAACCTCACCAGTCACAGATTGACTCCTCCTCTCACCTGGTATTCCATGCAACACATGTCTCCATGCGTGACGAATTGTAGCAATAGACAGCTGATCCCATGACTCCACCAAGAAGTCCACAGCTTTCTTGATGTTAAATACTCTCCAGAATTGTTTGAACAGTATTTTTTGCTGTGCCAACTGTTGATCCTCATCTTCTTCGCTCTTGCTATCGGTGGTGGTGTCACTCAGGTTACGCAACTCTTCCCTGGTGTTGGTGTAGTCGTTCAGGAGTTTGAATTTTTTTGTAGAGAATGCAGCTTTTACATTACAGATTAACTCTTGGTCCATGGGCTGTAATATAGACGTAGTGTTGGGAGGAAGGAAGACCACTTTTACGTTGAGGTGACGATCTAACAGTAGGGGCGAGTGTCCTGGTGCATTGTCCAGCAGCAACAAAATCTTGAATGGGACATTCTGTCGCTCACAGAATTTCTTTACATCGGGAACAAAACAGTCATCAAACCAGGAGAGGGACAGTGTAGAGAACATCCACGCCTTACGTGCGGTCAGCCAGTGGACATTTAGCTTGGTCATGTCCATGGTTTTGTAGGCGTGCGGCTTGCGTGCTGTGTGGATCACCCATAATTTGAGCTTACTGGTACCGGAGGCATTGGTAGTAAACAGGACGGTGATGCGTTCCTTCTGCATCTTCCGGCCCCGAATCTTGCTGGCATTCTTTACAACGAAGGACTTGGAAGGTAGCTTTTTCCAGAAAAGACCAGATTCGTCCATGTTAAACACCTGGTCGTCACTGTACTGTCCTTCCTCCATAATCTCACGTAAAAACGGAGGAAATTCCCTAGCCGCAGCACGGTCAGCACTCGCTTCTTCACCACCAATGTTTATATTGGTGATCTTGTTCCGGATCTTAAACCTCTGTAACCACCCAGAGGAAGCATTAAAGGGTTTGGGCTCTGTAATTCCCATCTATCGTGCCACTGCGATGTACAGTTCACGTGCATACTCCTTAACAGAGCGCGTGTCGACCGCCATGTTCCGTCGCGCCTGACGCACCAAGTACCTCACAAGTAATTTTTCTGTCTTGAGAAGCACCTGGTTGTGAAAATACTTGATCATAGAAGCACCTGTAGACTTTGTGATCTTCATGTGCTCCTTTATCTTGGCTGCATCCTTCTTTATTGTTCGAATCGCAGATTCATTCACACCATGCTGGCGCGCCAAATCAACCTGCCTTCTTCCTTTCTCCAACTCTTGGATGATGGTATACTTCACCTCGTAGCTTAAGGAACGTCGTGTCTTCTTTGGCTTAGTGCCGCTGGGTCCAGGTAAGGAAAGGTTTCTCTCTGGGGGTGGTGGTCTGGCGTGGAGGGATGAAACTGGCGCGGCTAGGTCAAGAATCGTCTTTCCTCCCTCCCTCCCTCCCCCGGGTGGACACGTCATAATACTTTAAGCCAATTACAGCTAGCAGCAGAGGGGGGTAGGGATGCATGGCCAATCACAGTCCGATACATCATATGACGTCAGTGATAACGCAACAAAGACACACGCTGCGCAACCTTACCGCGCGGCTTGCCCAAGCGGAGGGAGGAGGAGGGAGAGGCGAGAGCACAGGCAGGCAGGCGGGTGGGGCGAATCTAAAAATAGAGTCGCGCCGGACACTCTCAGCGTAATGGGGTTCACGCACCGCGTAATGTGAGCACGTTAGGTTCTGGCAAAGCACTGCGTTAACGTGGAAACGCGGAATGTGGGACCGAGTAAAGTGAGGGTTGACTGTACTCATTTACATGCACATAATCCTACATACATTTTGTGAAAAAAAAGTAAAAGAAATAATTGTCATAGGGGCAAGCATATAAAAGGAATATATATTTCCTTGCACATGAGTTAGATGGTTCAGTGGGGGAGCAGGAGGAGGGCACAAGTGTGTTGGGGAAGGGGTGGGGCATTGCTAAGAGATGGCGGAGGTAGCACCCTGCTGGTCTGAGTTGATTTTGCGAAGCAGGAAATGTATGCAAATGGCGATTGTGTTAAACTTTCATTTGGCTTTTATTTACTGGTTTTAGCTGCACTTTTTCATTTAAATTGTGTACAAATGTTGTTTGAAGTAGGACAATTGTTAAATAACATAAACAAATATGGTAGAACAGTATGGTTTATGAATGCTGGGAAAGGAGGTACAGGGAGTTGAGAGTTAGCTTCACCTTTTTGACTTACCACTCGGCTGTTACTTTAGATCAGTGATACCGTAGAAGTCCAAAAATCCGGACTGCTTGGGGATTAGGTCGGTCCGGATTTTCGGATTTTCCGGATTCTCAGGAAGTACTTTTAAAATTCAAATTTAAGGAGGAATAAAGATGAGATGAAAGATACATTTTGATTGTTTATTCATTAGCAAATATAGCATGCTTCATTTATCAAAACGAGCAGTTTTAAAGAAAAAGCTGTGAATTCTAGAATTTTATTCTTTACCTTTTTTATATCATAAATTGTAGACTTTCCAATGTTGTATGTTTCCATTAGAACAGTATTGCTCACACCACGTTCTATTTTAATTATTTAAATTTTGTCACTCAATTTCAATGTGTTCTTCTTTCTCTTCACAAAACGAAGTTTATCTACTTTAGGAGCCATTATTATGGACTCTGTAAATGGAAAGAGTAGGACTCAAAATTACATACGTTGTCACAGTTTGATTGCTCGTTTTAAAGTGGCGACCACGTGGTCGCTTGTTGTCGCTGTGCAGTTGTGGTGCTCACGCATGCACACATACACACAAACGCCAGCTAAAAAAAAAAAAAAAAGTTTGAGTTTTCGAAAAGTCCGGATTCTCGGGTGGTCCGGATTTCTGGAATCCAGATT